GCCTCCTGCACGCCCCCACCTGGGGATCAAGGCCACAACCCGGGCATGCACCCTGACCAGGAATCGAACCGTGATCTCCTGGGTCCTAGGTCAATGCTCAACTGCTGAGCCACGCCTGGCTGGGCTAAACACATTTTTGGCTCCTGGGCCAACCCTGGTTTAGATCATTAAAAAATTTTTTCATGTCTTTTTTTTTCCCAGTTGATTTGAGAGAGAGAATCATCAGTTTGTTCCACTTATTTATGCATTCATTGGTTGCTGCTTGTATGTGCCCTGACCAAAGATTGAACCCAAAACCTTGGCATATTGGGACAATGCTCTAACCAACTGAGCAACTCAGGACTTAATTTTTTTTTCTTTTTAATATATCTTTATTGATTTCAGAGAGAGGAAAAGAAAGGGGGAGAGAGAGAGAAGCATCAGTGATGAGAGTTGTTGATCTGCTGCCTCCTGCACACCCCCGACTGAGGATAGAGCCCGCAACCTGAGCATGTGCCCTGACCAGGAATCGAACCCTGATTGCCTGGATCCCAGGTTGATATTCAGCTGCTGAGCCACGCCTGGCCGGGCTTAATTTTTTAATTTTGTTTTTATTATCAGGAAATAATTGTATTAGTTTGCTAAGGCTGCCATAACAGAGTACCAGAGACTAGGTGACTTAAACAGTACTATATTTTTTCACAGTTCTGAAGAATGGTCATTCGAGATCAAAGCATTGGCAGGGTTAGTTTCTTCTGAGGCCTTGCTCCTTGGTTTTCCTTAGCTCGCAGATGACCATCCTCTCCTGTTTTCACAGGGTCTTCCCTGTAATTGTTTTAATCACTTGTGAGGACACCAGTCATTTTGGATTATGTCCCACCCTCAGACCTCATTTTATCTTAATTACCTTTTTATTTATTTTAATTTATATAAGAGTTTATTTGAGCCACACTGAGGACATGCCAGGCAGCAAGATCTCAAAGGCTTCTACTTACTTATTTTTTAATCCTCATTCGAGGATATGTTTTAGAGAGAGAGAAACATCAATCGATGTGAGAGAGAAATGTCAATCGATTGCTTCCCGTATGAACTCTGACTGGGGATGGAACCTGAAATCTTTTTGGTGTATGGAACAGCAAACACTCCAACCAACTGAGCCATCAGGCCAGGGTTTAATTACCTTTTTAAAGGTCCATCTCTCCAAATACAGTCACATTCTGAGGTACTGTTGGTTTAGGACTTGAAGGTATGAATTTGGTGGGGCGCACAATTGAGCCCATAACAGTGATATAACTCTAGATTACTTAATGTGAATTTGAGAAAAGAAAAAAGGTGCTCCCCTGGTCCTAATATCCTTAATGTAAACAGAAACTGAAGAGCTTACATGTTTCTTTGTTTTGTTTTAAAATTTATTTCAGAGTGGAAGGGAAAGGGAGAGAGAAAGAGAAACATCAGTGATGAGAGAGAGTCATTGATTGACTGCCTTCTGTATGCCCCCCACTGGGGATCTAGCCTGAAACCCAGGCATGTGCCCTGACCTGGAATCAAACCGAGATATGTTGGTTCATGGGTCGACACTCAGCCATTGAGCAACACCTGCCAGGCTGTTTCGGTTTTTTAATCCTCATCCAAGGATATTTTTTCCATTGCTTTTCAGAGAGAGTGGAAGGGGGAGAGAGAGAAACATCAATGTGAGAGAACACATTGATTGGTTGCCTCCCGCATACACCCTGACCGGTGCCGGGGATTGAGCCTGCAACTGAGGTAGGTCCCCTTGACCGAAATTGAACCTGAGACCCTTCAGTCCATGGGCCAATGCTCTAACCACTGAGCAAGACCTGCTAGGGCCATACTTAGTTTTTGATATAGCTATGGTAATAACCAGGTCATTGTTAGTGTGCTCCTCTTCCATAACTATAGACTCTTTAATAGGGACACAACTTGACATTTACAATGTAAACAGTGCTTTTTGCACTAACAAAACTAATTTCTATATCGCCTGCCCATAACTAGGTCTCCACAGTTTCAGTAATCTTTTTTTTTTCTTTTACGATTAGTTTATTTGAATCAAGATACAGACTAGGTCACAAATTGCACTTATTTGGTAACTCTTAGGTCTCTTAATCTAGAGCAGTTCCCCCTTCTTTCTGCCAGTGATCTAAAACCATTCTGAATTTGTTGCTTCCTTGTGGTATCATTTAACTTGTTCCTTTTCCTCATATTTCCTGTAGACTGAAATTAAGTTTACTGTGGAATGTATCATGTTGCATCAAATTAGGAGGTATATATTTAGTTGTCTCACTTTCAGTGATGCTAAGATCCTAAATTCTTTATCAATTGTTTATCTAGTCATTGTTAATTGTTCCATCCAGCGGTGATTACTGCCATATCAGTTTAAGGGCTGCAAAATAGTGATTTTTACCCCTCATGTTTTATTCCACACCAAAGTGGAATTCCGTAAAGAAGTTTCCTTCATGAACTGGTCCTATTCAGTTTTGAGTAAAGGCTCATAAAGGGAAAGCAGAAAAAATGCCTAATTTTTTTTTTTTTTTGCCAATTTATAAAATAAAAATTGGAGCTGTAGCACCTTCTGGTGATAAAGAATTGTGGGTAATTTGTCTTTTTTTTCTTTTTTCTTTTTCATTGATCTCAGAGAGAAAGCGAGGGCGGGGGGAGGGGGGCCAACATCAGTTTGCTGTTCCACTTTTTAATGCATTCATTGGTTGATTCTTGTATATGCCCTGACCTGGGATCCAACCCAAAACCTTGGTGTATCTGGACAATGCCACCCCTCCAGGGATGATTTTTTTTTTTTTTTTTTTTTTAATATGAATCAATTTGCAGTCATTCTTTCTGATGCTCAGATTGTCATTGACCGATGTGAGAGACCTTAATTGCCTCCTGTTCTGACTGTGGCCTCATTTGCGCAATGAGATATTCCAAGGTCATCTATATTTCCCCACTTAGGGCCTGAGGTCAGCCATTTCTCTGTAGGAATCTTGGTTTCTTTAGGTTGGAAATAGTATTTTAGCACTGGGCTATTCATTGCTCCAGATTGTTACCATTAGTGCTTTTTTTTAATAGGGCTTATCTGGTTACTTCAATTTGAAAGTCTATAAACCTAGTCTTTTAAAGTTTAATTATTAAGTTAGCAAATATTTTCAGTTAAAGACAACATGTTACCACATATTGAGAATACTGTTTGGGCAAGGAAATAAGTACAAATAATGTGTGATCTATTCATAAAACTCCTAAGTTGTTTGTTAGCTAAATTAACATACTGACATTAGAAGTTGTGATTCCTGTGCTCGCTTCAGCAGCACATATTCTTTAAGAAAGAAAAAAAAGGCTCTGAGCCCTAGCCCGTTTGGTTCGGTGGTTAGTGTCAGGACTGAAGGGTCCCGGATTCAATTGTGGCCAAGGGCATGCACTCTGGTTGCAGGCTCAATTCCCAGCCCCTGTCAGGGCATGCACAGGAAGCAACCAATCAATGTGTCTTTCTCACCCCTCTCCACCCCCCCCCCCAAAAGAGATTGAAAAATCCTTGGGGGAGGATTAAAAAAAAAATTTAAAAAAAGAAGCTGTGAATCCTTAGTCCACAGAAGTTTAGTTAGATGTCTTTTTTAGAGGTACTTATAAAAATCTTGTGTTTTTAATATGCCAATAGATTTTTTAAAAAGTAGATTTACCCTTGGTGATTTGCCGGTATTTAGACTTTGGAAACTGCCATCTGTAATTCTTAACCTACTTCATTCAGGTCTGATAACAGTGTTCCAGAGTAGAGTGACTAGTCAAGTTTGACAGTTGTGTAAAAATGTTGATGAATAGTTGGTTGCAACTTTTATTTATAGAAGGGACTTTAAATTGCTACTCCGTAGGGTTGGGAATTTCAGAGCTTGGAAACAAAACAGTTCCTTTCAGTTGAGTTGATTTTTGAGTAGTGTTTGAACATACAATAACTAGAATTTTAAACTTTTATTTTGAAATTATCTTGGGTTTACAAAAAAGTTGAAGTATTTTATCACATATCCTTTTTTACTATTAGTCAACCATATTTGATGATATTTGCTTTTAGCAGTTTTTTAGCCATATTCCAATGGATGGGTAGAACTCTAGGCAGCTAACACTATGAAGACAGGGGTAATACTGTATTGCAAGGGACAGAAGCACATGAATAATATTGAAAAAGCAAATTCTTCAGGTTGCTTCTAGTATAGTATACATTGGATACATATATAGATAGTGTAAAGGTGAAGCTGGAAAAAAGTTTAGTTCTTTATCTGATGTCATTATTTAGAATCATAGAAAGATTTGTTTGCCCAGAAAAAAGCTGCAGGTAAGAACTTTTTTGAGAAGAAATAACTCTCATTTCTCATACTTTCCCCACACTCTTTTTTATTGATTTGAAAGAGACAGGAAAGGGGAGAGAGAGAGAGAAACATCAATGTAAGAGGGGAACATTGATTGGTTGCCTCCTATTTGGGGATTGAACCGACAACCTGGGTATGTGCCCTGACCAGGAATCAAACCCACCACCTTTTGGTTTACTGGACGACACTCCACCCAACTGAGTCACACCAGCCAGGGCCATTCTCATACTTTTAAATTCCCCCTACAATTCCTAGGATTCATTGTAAAGTAAAAATGTTGAATACTACATATATCTCAGTTGACAGTGGATTAGTTCTGTCAGGTTTTTTAATTCTGTGAAGTTGAATTTTAGGAGCAAGGCTCTAAAGGAGTGACATAAATTTTGACAGGGCTACCTAAATGACTTAAGCATTGTTTGTTTTATTTTTAAGTGCCTTTTATTATAAAATGAGTACCATTGTGTTTACTTTAAATGTAGATGTTAGAGTAAAAATGTAGTTTCCATTAGAATTTGTAATAAACTGCCTCAAAATAAGAAATGCTCTAATAGAATAGAGGAATATATTACTTACATGCTAAACTTTGGAGGTTATGTAAATATTCAGTTAATGAATTCCAGCTTAACTTTCTCTGATTTTATCTCTTTGTAGGCAGCCTGCTTCTGCAAAGTGGTACGATCGAAGGGACTATGTCTTCATTGAATTTTGTGTTGAAGACAGTAAAGATGTTAATGTAAATTTTGAAAAATCCAAACTTACATTCAGGTAAATTTCCATTTTACATAATTGGGTAAAGCTTATTTTAGACAATTGAACAATTTTGGCTTGCTTGTTCTGTGTTTTCATTGAAGTTATATTAATCTTTACCTCTTTGAAAAGGCTCATTTTTTTTTTCCCCCCCTCACAGTTGTCTTGGAGGAAGTGATAATTTTAAACATTTAAACGAAATTGATCTTTTTCACTGTATTGATCCAAATGTAAGTAGTATTGATACTTTAATACTGATTTAAATCATGAGGAAGTGAACATACTTCAAATACTCTTTTTAACAGTAAACTCTTAATTCTGTTTTTCTTAACAGTTCAGAAGGCTAATTAGATATATTTTGCAATGTTTTCCCCTTCTGACCACTTTTCTGCATATTCATTTTGTTCTTGTTTTTACTGTTTAAACTCAGGGCCATACGCTTCAGGCTTATCTAAGTATAGAACCTTTAAACTGTTCTGTGATTGTGTGGTGAAGAAAAATACTGACTTTTTTTGCAGTTGGATAGCTTATGAAATTTTTAGTAGTTCGGGGATGTTTCTTTCAGAGTTTAGGGAACGTGTAGGGAAAGGAATTAGAAAGGAGAGGTGAGAAATGTATGACAAGATACTTTCTATCTTATAGTGATGCTGGAGAGATAAATGGTGTGATAATGTGTTTTTTTGTTGTTGTTTTTAGGATTCCAAGCATAAAAGAACGGACAGATCAATTTTATGTTGTTTACGAAAAGGAGAATCTGGCCAGTCCTGGCCAAGATTAACAAAAGAAAGGGCAAAGGTAGGTTTTGGGGTTTTTTGTTTTGTTTTTTAAGTTTGATGTTTTTACTTTAAGTAATAAAAGATACATTGGTTCTGTATGAGGAACATAGTGTTTGTTTCATAGTGAAGTACTATTACAGCCTTGCATTCTGTGTTTTTCTCTACTTTGAGATATATTAGGGGTTTTTTTGTGTGTTTTTTTTTAATTTTTTATATGTCTTTATTGATTTCAGAGAGAGGAGGGGAGAGCGAGAGACAGAGATAGAAACATCAATGATGAGAGAGTCATTGATCGAGCCCGCAACCCGGGCATGTGCCCTGACCGGGAATCGAACCCCGATCGCCTGGATCCTAGGTCGACGCTCAACCACTGAGCCACGCCCGGCCGGGCAAGATATATTAGTTTTAACTTAAAGCTATGTGTGGTCAGAGTAAGATCAGTCACCAGTTGATGCAGAATCTTTTGCATTCAGGAGGCAGACTTTGCTAAATTACATATTTTGGTGCCACTACACAAAATAAGTTAACCAGGTATCTTAGCATAGTTCCTATCAATGAATTTTTGTTGTTGCTTTAAAAAGTAAATTTGTTTAACCGAAAGAAGCTTCATAAAACTATATTTAGCCCTAGCCGGTTTGGCTTAGTGGTTAGAGCATTGGCCTGCAGACTGAAGGGTCCCAGGTTCAATTCCAGCCAAGGGGTACATACCTCAATTGCAGGTTCTGTCCCCAACCCTGGTTGGGGCGAGTGTGGGAGACAACTGATCAATGTGTCTCTCTCACATTTATGTTTCTCTCTCTCTCCCACTCTCTGTGAAAAGCGATGGAAAAAATACCGTCAGGTGAGGATTAAAATAAAGAAAAAACTATATTTGTGCTAATTTCATGGCTCGCTAGTGGGTATGAACCCATAGTTCAAAAAAATAGTTTTAAGGTACATGCCAATGAGTGCAAGTTAACCTAATCACAGGCTGATGTTTGTGTTGGTCTATAGCTTAATTGGCTTAGTGTGGACTTCAATAATTGGAAAGACTGGGAAGATGATTCTGATGAAGACATGTCTAATTTTGATCGTTTCTCTGAGGTAAGTTCTTTTAAATGCATTCTTCTGCTCTTCCTCCCAGTGTATTTCTATGGAGTCAATTTAATTTGGTTTTAAAGCATCTAGTGGTATTTAAGACATGCATTACTTTTCTTTGAAGGTCATTCTGCAGTAAAACTAAGATCTCAACAATAGTCATTTATTCCTAAAATTTAACATTCTTTTACAGTTTTTTAAAAATTAGGGTTAAGTTCTAAAGTTGATGTATAAAGATAAAAAATAAACCATATATTCAGTCAGTGCAGTACAGCCAGGTGTTTTTCTAACACTGGGACAGATTTTTTTTAGGAGTATGAGTATAGTAATTGGCTTGCATTTTGGAGCCATGTAATATGAATATAAACCTTTAAACACAAGAATCATGGTGGGATGTGTATGAAGAGTGGTGTGTAGGGATATTGTAGTTTGCAAAGTCAGGGAAAGGGTTTGAGTAAGCCTGTTTTTTCCAAGATGTCACCCAAATACTTATTGCCATGACCAAAGAACAGTTATTGATATGCCTTTAGGTAGAATAGACCTTTATCAAATGTACTGCAGGAAAGCTAATCAGAAAAGAGAACATTAATCTCCATGCCCCATGAAATCCATTTCTCATTGCAATTAGAAAATTTAATTGACCAGGCTCTGTTTACATTTTTTTCTTGAAAAGTAAGAGTTAAAAGGAGTACGTTTTCAGCTTCACGTATGCAACTGCTTATTTAACATTCCTCCTTACATGGCTCTGGCACCTTAATTTCAAAAGAGGGAAGGGAGGATACTTTTGTGACTTTCCTCAACTATACTATTTCTTACCTGTAGTAATTGGTGCCACCATTTACCCAGCTGTGCATGTCACAACTTTTTAACACCGTTCTCTTTCACTGCCTCTCGCTATCCAATATAACGTTAATTGCATCTTTGTTGTTCTTTTATTTCCTAAAAAGCTCTTGAATATATTCACGTTTCTTTATTTCTATTTCCATTGTATCCTCAGCACCTCACATTGTGCTTGGCACATTTGGAGCATTTTTTTCTACTCAAAGAAACTTACTGAAGGTGTTGAACATTGCCTGTAGACATAGGGAAACTTTACTAGTTACTCATATTATTGAAGACTAGATTGCCCAGAGTTTTTATACTAAGAGATTTGACTAAGTATTTAACTCTAAAGTCTAGGTAAGCAAATGTACTTGAAGTCTTTCATTGTTGTTTACAAAGTTATACATGGTTGTGTAAATATTTTAAATTTTAAAAGTTTAAACATTACAGAAAAGTTGTAACTTGGGGAGGTAAGTCTCTCCCCATCTGATAATAGTTTCATACTTGGCTATTTGTACCTCTTTAAATAATACACTACTTGCTTTATGATCAGAAACAACTAAAGATGGGAAATGAGTACTTCATGTAAGTATGTTCTGTTGTTAGTCCCATTTTATTGTAAGTATATGAGGGTATTTACATATACAAGGTTGTTTTCCACTGTGTGTACCTTTTCTTTCAAGAATTATGTTTATTTTCTGTTTTTAACTTAGTTATTGCTTTTTGACCTTTGATTGAATTCTCAGGCCTTTTATTGGCCTATTTGGGCTTTCTGATTCTTCCTGCTTCAGTTTTACATGATCTCACTCATGTGGAATCTAATGAACAAAATACACTGATGAACAAAATAGATCTAGAAGCATGCAACAGACTGACAAATCTCAGAGGGAAGGCAGGGGTTGGGTAGTGGGTGGGGAGAGATTAATCAAAGAATTTACATGCATATTTGCATAACCCAAGGACACAGACAATGGTGTGGGAAAGGTCTGGGGGGGTGGCGAGGTTGCGGGTTGGAGGGGATCAATGGGGAAGAAAAAGAGGGCCATCTATGATACTTTCAACAATAAAGATAAATTAAAAAAAATTTTTTTTCAGACCTTTTATACAAACTCATCATCTCAAAGGACTTTATTTTAAATCACTTGATTCTTCACAATATTTAAAACTATAATGAGAATACTGTTTTATGTCTGTCAGTCAGCTTAGGAGATAAGACTTTTCAACTACAAAAGATCCCATGATTTTCCTTAACCATCAGTGGTAACTGCTTATTCAGGATTTTGGTGTTTAATTTTTATATCATACATAGTTGTCTTGGATGAATTTTAATAACTTCACTTTTTTTCGATGAAAACTTAGATTTAACTTATAGAATTCTATAAGTTTTCAGGATTTTATATATAATTATCTATAATCTACCTTTTCCAGAAAGGGGAAGTACTTACTGTTTATTTTGCTTTTTTTATTGGTGGAAATCTGTGGCACACTTAAGGTTTATTCTGAAGTGTGTAACCTAATAATTAGGGCTTAATTTAATATAATTTTTTTAAACATCATTTTTAAAACTAATTTTTACACTTCAAATAGATGATGAACAACATGGGTGGTGATGAGGATGTAGATTTACCAGAAGTAGATGGAGCAGATGACGTAAGTATAAATTCTTTTGTTTACTTAATAGTAAGAAACAGTGTATTTACAAGTTTGATATAAATTCAAGATCTCTTTATTTCTACTTCTTGGTGATATGGGTGTGTGTGCTTTTAATGTAAGGAAAAGCAGTTTTAAAAATGTGCCCATTTTTGAGGGATTGAAACCTACTAAGGAACCCGGTGTCTCGTGGGCCATTCTTAAAGGGACCAGATTTCAAAAGAATCATTGCAGAGAGACATCATATGCCTCATTCAACTAAGAGTAAGTTTAGGGATTATTTTTACAAAGTTAAACAGGTTTTATAAAAGCGGGATTGATCAGAGATTAAGTAAACATGGGCATTGTGAATCTATATGAGGATATACTGGGTCACTCTTCTCAACATTCCCCCTCTGGCATTCTGTTAACATCGTTACGAAATTTGTTCAGCCCTAGCCAATTTTGCTCAGTGGTTAGAGCGTTGACTCTCAGACTGAAGATTGATTCCTGGTCAATGGTACTTACCTCTGTTGCAGGCTCTATCTCTGGCTTGGGCAGAGCTCCTGTGGGAGGCAGCCAATCAGTTTGTCTCTCTCACATCTGTGTTTCTCTCTGTGTGTCTCCTCCTCCCTCCCACTCTCTCTAAAAAAAAAAAAGGGAAAAAAGTATCCTCAGGTGAGGATTTTTTTAAAAAATTTGTTCAATACAGTTAGGAAAATACTTAGACAATTCACTAGCTATGATTGGAGTTCATTGTCTTCTATCAGTCCAGTGGTCTTTGTATTGAGCCATTTTCTTTCATTGAATGTCAGGAGAGAAGGGAAACCATTTTATACCAAGAGTTCAGTCTGGTTGATTGAGGGATTTAAAAGAAGGACTCAATTCCTGCCAAAAGGAATCTTCCTCACCTGTACATCTGTAAACCCATTCTTAAGTCAGTTGATTAAATTCGTAAGCTTGATATAATCACCAATCTTAGCTACTTTAGTGATAACTAAAGCAAACTCTTTAGTTAGCAGAGGAATGTTTGATCAACTTGGTAACTATTTTTTTATTTACCCTTCTGCAGGACTCACAAGACAGTGATGATGAAAGTAAGTGTCTTCGTAAAAAATATGTTTTACACACTAATATTTCACATCAAAGACCAAACTCTCAAAATAAAGACATTAACTTCTTTATAATTCTTAGAAAGATAATTATTACTTCTTTATGGCCTCTAATAGCCAAAGTGGAAATTTGAATGATTTGAGATTCAAATTAAAAAAATAGGAAACTATTGAACTCTGTTGCTGGCTGCTTTTCCTATAAGACTTTGAAGTTAGTAGATTATTTCCTTGTCCTTCATACTAATCTTTTTAAAATCCTTTCAGAAATGCCAGATCTGGAATAAGGAATGTTGTCATCACCGGATTTTGAGAAAGAAAAATAACTTCTCGGCAAGATTCATAATTGAGAGAATTCCTGAGTTGATAGCTCTAAAGGCAGATGCTGCATTTGCCTCCTTTAACCCATTTTTCAACCTGTTTGTTTTCTTAAAGGCTTCACTAAGGGTTGATATGTACCATTGTATAGGGCAATTTTAAGTCAGCTAAGGCAATAACCTTATGCATGAACATTTCCCAGACTTCCATGATGCTGTTGAGGTCCTAGGCAATTGATACAGCAGTTGTGATAAATAAAAACATTTCACCTAAGTCTCCTTTACCTTCATAACATAGATACTGACATGTTAGGAAGCTCTTGGATTATGGAAAGATAACTAAGTTTTAATTTTAGAATATGGACTCAACCTGGCTGAAACAAATTGGTTGATACCTTAAACTGGTAACCTATTCCTTTGGTATATTCTTCAGGATTGTTCCACTAAAGTTTTATTTTTCAAAAAATTTACTTCATATTATTGTACGTAAGTGATCACTTGTCAGTGTTCCAAATGTATCTTAGCTAAAACTAGTAAATGCCCTAACTTAGATGGTTTTTGAAGCCTGTACATTTGGTATTGTTTGACCCTTAAACTTTTACATCTCTTAGCATGGAGGACGAAGAAGGCTGTACATTGTTGCTTGAGAGTCTGTACATTTAGACCAAATTTGTATTTGCACTGTCAGTATGGCAAATGAGTGAAAAAACGTTAATACACTATTGGATTTTTTATTTCTTTTTTTTGATCCAGCTTGAACCAGGGCTGAAAACCTCAATTTATGTTCATGACAGTGGGGATTTTTTTTAATGTCTACATTCTTTCTAATAAACTGTTGGAAGACTTCTTGGCTGTCCTTTTAAGTGTCTGGTTTACTGTAATTTCATGTATTACCATTTACTGAAATGGAGTTATTTTCACTTGAGAAAGAATTTGGGAATATTTCTCTGTTCGGAAAAAAAAAAAGGCTTGCTGTAATGTCACAGGAAACCTTTTAAAAGTGGATCTGTAATAGCAAATTGTAGATGCACTTTGCAGCAGTTTGAAAAGAAAGTGCTGTGATTTGATTGAAATAAAACTAAATGTGTTGTCCTCCTCTAACTCTGAGCTTCTGCATTTTGGCAGTTTTTTATTCCCTCCAGCTTCTGTGTATTTGTTATAGCATAGTCATGCTTCATCTTTCAGCACTTTGTGTCAGACCTGTGTTGCAGGCAGTGTTGAGTGCTGGGGATACAAAGATTAATCTTTCAGGTAACTGCTATGTTCAGAGCTCATAGACTAGGCTGGGGGACAAACATTGGACAAAAACTTGGTAGATGGGAATTGCAGTAATAGATATGCATAGGGCATAAAACAACATTTCCTTCCCGTGTTATGACTGTTCAGAATGCTATTCAACACTATGTTCTTAAAATGCTACAATGAGAAAATATTCCTATTCTTGACATTAAACTCTGTTATGTTACAGAAGTAACTTGGGTTCTGGTCCTCTAAGGGATTGCAGTTCCCTCAAAGCCCTAGGTTTTTCCACATTGGGAGGCATGTTTAAAATTCTATACTTTAAGAAAATTATGTCAGACATAGTTTTCTTGCTTTGGAGCATGCCAACAGTATCAGTATAATTGATAAAATAGTGTAGTTCTTAGCTTCAGGGAAAAACTTTAAAAAAGCTCAGAAATCCTATTTTTAGCCCTGCCGAGCGTGGCTCTGGTTGAGCGTCGACCTGGGATCTAGGCAATCGGGGTTCGATTCCCGGTCAGGGCACATGCCCGGGTTGCGGGCTCGATCAATGACTCTCATCATTGATGTTTCTCTCTCCCTCTCCTGTCCTCTCTCTGAAATCAATAAAGATATATTTTTAAAAAAAATTAAAAATCCTATTTTTAGTTTGATTCTCTTGAAAAACTATTGTTTGGGTGTGGGGATCAAACCGTTTTTGAGGGACTTCAGGGGAAGATCGACAGTGAGATTGGACATCCTCAAACCAGCTTGGATCTCCCCACTTTTATAGTTGTCAAAAATTGAAAAACAATTTTTGTGTGTCAGATCTGGAATTTAAAAGTTTCATAAGGATTCATTGGCTTACTGCTAGCCATTAGGCTATAGAGCATTAAAGTATAGCTTGATGGCCCGGCCAGGCGTGGCTCAGTGGTTGAGCATCGACCTAGGATCCAGGAGATCACTGTTCGATTCCGGGTCAGGGCGCATGCCCGGGTTGCAGGCTCAATCCCCAGTCAGCATGCAGAGGCAGCCGGTCAATGACAGCTCTCATTGATGTTTCTCTCTCTCCTCCTCCCTTCCTCTCTCTGAAATCAATAAAGATACATTTTTAAAAATAAAGTATAGCTTGATAGACTTCTGGATTCCATCTATCTTTTAAGGTTCTTTAACTTTAAAAATCTGTGTTCAAACATTTGAATGGTTTAAGTTTGAATGTGGGATAACATCGATTATCTTTTAAAAGTTTTTATTGATTTCAGAGAGAGAGGGAGAGAGAAAACATCAATGATGAGAGTCATTGATTGGCTGTCTCCTGCATGGCCCCTGCTGGGGATTGCGCCTACAACCAGGGCATATGCCCTGACCTGGAATCAACCAAGATCTTAATCATAGGTTGATGCTCAACTGCTGAGCTATGCCGGCTGGGCTCTTTTGTACATTTTGATATGTGGTGATAAAGGTGCTATATTTCACTTCCTAACTGTTCAGTGAACCTCCAGGGAAAGGAAAGACAGTTGCTACAGTATCATGAAGGTTCTATTTACCAACTTAGTTTTGGGCTAGTTTTAATTTCTATTTAGCAGAAATTATTTTGACAAGAAGTGATAATGAACTGAACTTTTATGCTAATATCAAAGCTGTTACCTATGGCTCACCCAGCATTGGGCCAAGCTTGAGAACATAGGCTGGGATAGAGAGGCAGGTATCTTGTCTATCACTACTAAATTATTTTATCTTTGTATATGCTTTTCAGGCCTGTGGACTTAAGTTAAACATTAACCATACATGATTAGTTGTTGGATGTCTATTCCTACCAAAAGAATGAACGATGTAGATCACTATTAAATCTCCACTCCTTAGGACAACACCTGATGTGAAGATTCAGTAAGCACATTTCAGGAATATCATAGCGTGAATAATGTGAGTTGGCCTGGAGGCAAGGAAACAATGCAGGAATTCAAATGGCAAAAGGTGAAGAGGTAGACTTAGGCACTGGCAGTGAGACCTGGAGAAGCAGATTCCAGAGATGTAGGTGGTCAAGTAGGATTTGATAACGTTTAGGATACAGTCTTGCTTTGTTCCTAACAGTTTTCCAAAGTGAAAAATCATGTCGCTTGCTTATGAGCTATATTGACAGCCTGGATAATTTCATTGTTTATGTGAAGAACTATCTAGAACTCTAGCCTAAATTTCTTAGCCTTAAATCAGTGACCTTCACTGCTGTACTATATTTAGCAGCTCATTCCCTTGGCTGTATCATGATGATCCTAAGTTCAGGAGTGAGAGAACTGTAAATTTGCTCCCCTACAACTAACAACAACTTCAATGAGGAGTAGACCTGTGCCTCAACCATTGTTCTTTTCTCACAACTAATTAGCTTCTTAGCTCTAGTTGTCTCCCTATCTGTGGCCATCTGCCTTATCTTGAACCCAGTGGTTCTCAAAATCATGGGGCTCTGGTAAAGTGGATTCCTAGGTCTCAACCCTGAGAGAGGCTTTAGTAGGTGCATGTGGGCCCCAGGAATTTGCAATTTAACTGATACTTGAGGTCAGTGAAGTGTGGTCCCCAGACTAGCAGCATCAGTCCCACCTAGAAATTGGTTAGAAATACAAATTTGGGGCCCCCAAGCAGACCTCTACTCAAATGAGAAACTTGACAGGGTAGAGTCCAGTGAGCTGTCTTAAGCCTTCTTGGTGACTTAGGATTCCAAGTTTGACAACCATTTGATTTAGATCTAAAATGCAGATTCTGAATCAGTTCCTGCTGAGATCAGTGCTGTCCAATGTGAATTTTTTGTGATGAAGGAAACCTATCCATTGTCTGAGACAGTAGCTACCAGCCACATACAGCTATTGAGGATCTGAGATGTGGGTAGTACAACTGAGAAACTGAATTTTAATAACTCCACCTAGATAGTGATTACCAGATGCAGATAGTTCCTGGCCCACTCAGGGAAAACGAGTCCATTTATCAAATTCTTTTAAAAATATTTTTTTTAATTTAAGAATCTTTTAAAAGATTTTTTTATTGATTTTTAGGGAGTGAGAGAAACTTCAATGTGAGAGCTAAACATCTGCCTACCTGGGATCTAGCCGGCAACCTTTTGGTGTACTGGACAATGCCCACTGAGCCACACCAGTCAGGTTTTTATTGATTTTATAGAGAGAGAGGAACTGATTTGTTCCACTTATCCACGTACTCACCAGTTGATTTTTTTTTTTTTTTTTACTGATTTCAGAGAGGAAGAAAGAATGATGAGGGTCCTTGTACCGCTGCCTCCTACATGCCCCTACTGGGTGTCAAGCCCACAACCTGGGCAAGTGCCCTGACCTGGAATCAAACCTTGACCTCTTGGTTCATAGGTTGAAGCTCAACAACTGAGCCATGCCAACTGGGCCTACTAGTTGATTATTGCATGTGCCCTGACTGGGGACCGAACCCTCAACCTTGGCATATCGGGATGATGCTCTAACCAACTGAGCTACAACGCCAGGGCCTCATTAATCAAATTCTTTGCTAATGATAGGGGAAAATCATTCCAAGCATGATACAGAAAAAATATAGAAGCTACAAAGAAAAGTTAAATCTGATATTAAAAATTACACAGGTCTCCATAGCCAAGTAGCTCAGTTGGTTAGAGCATTGACCCACTATGCCAAGGTTGTGAGTTTGATCCCTGATCAGGGCACATACAAGAGTCAACCAATGAATGCATAAATAAGTGGAACAGCAAACTGATGTTTCTCTCTCTAAAAATTAATTTTTAAAAAAATTACATAGGTCAACAGGTTAAAAGGTAAGAGACATACTGGAAGAAAATATTTACAACATATTTAGCAAAGCATTTGAAAATAGCTTGTAATCACTATGACGAGCCAATAGTGAAAAAATGGGCAAAAGGTAGGGACAGGAATTCACTGAAGAGATAAGTGACCAATAAATGTGAAAGTATTCCATCTTAGTAGAAACGGGAAATGCAAATGTTATCAAAGTAATTTTATTCATTTTTTTAATCCTCACCCAAGGATATGCTTTTATTGATTTTTGAGAGAGGAAGGGGGAGAGAAACATCAATATGTTGTCTCCCATTCACACCCTGACCGGGGTCAAACCCACAGCCTTGGTTATGTGCCATGACAGAAACAAACCCACAACCTTTTAGTGTACGGGACAACACTCCAACTGAGCCACCTTACCAGGGCGTAAATTTATTCATTTCATATTAGCCACATCTTAAAAAAAGTTTTGGGAAGGATTCTGGGGACCTGGTAAATTAGCGAGATGGTTTTAGAAGGCCATTTGGCAGAATTTCATTTAAATGAACATAATTTTAAGCCAACATTTTATTTCTAAGAATCTACACTAAGTACTAGGTAGTGTACGTGATGTGTGCAGGCTCTCTTTTTCATTCAACATTACATGAAATAGCCATTTGAAACAATCCAAATGACCATAAATGGAGTAAATTAAGTTGTTACAGTCTTAGGGCATAATGTGTACTCACGATGAATAAAGTAAATGTAAAGGTACTGATATAAAAAGTTCTCCAGCCCGGGCAGGCGTGGCTCAGTCTAGGATCCAGGAGATCGAGGTTCAATTTCCGGTCAGGGCACATGCCTGGGTTTCGGGCTCGATCCCCAGTAGGGGGTGTGCAAGAGGCAGCCGATCAATGACGACTCTCATCATTGATGTTCCCCCCTCCCTCCCTCCCTCCCTCTCTCTGAAATCAATAAAGCTATATTTTTTAAATTATAAGAAAAAGTGAACCCATTAAAAAGAAGAAAAAGGAAAAAAGACTGTTAAGACCTATCTCAGCCCAAGCTAGTCAAGTTTATTTTTAGTTTAGACAGTATTACTTAAAAATTTAGCTGGTAATATGA